AATGTAGCCAAAAACAAATAGGAAAGGACAAAAAATGTTAAATAATTACAAAATTATTTACTCCAATGTATTTTATCGCAAAAATGCTTTTATAATAGAAAAATATGACCTCCATCAACAATATATATTCCAGCAGCTCTTTTTCGATATTCTCAGGAAGAATTGGCTTTCTACCTAGTGTCTTTTTCACAAATTGCTCTGGAGGAATGTCTGCTTGCAAATAGAAAGTTCGGAGGAGTTGAGTTCCATATTACTGTAAAAGCACCAATGGGGTCCGTATTTCACGCATCGCCATCTCGAATTAACTTATGTCTGTCAAGACCAAAATTTAAAAAACGTGAACATCACACAGATTAATATGTACCCCTAAGTCTCTGGAACGGAATACATGCACCAGTGAACCTACAACTACACGATTTATATTTTAAAAATAATTAAATTCACTTAGCATTCAAAACTTGCGAATTTTGAAAAAAACAAATTTGCTGATTAAATACGGACAACCGTTTAACTGAAGTAAAACGGGTTTTCCCCTTGCTATGGATGTCTGCCTAGTTCAGTTCAGCCACATTCCGCTACAGTTCGCCTTTATTATCAGTTCGAAATGGGGTGGTTCCATAATACCCGCAGTGTTCCATAATACCACCTTCTCTAATATCGAAAGTAAGAAAATAATTTTAGTTTTTAGTTACAATCGAATACGTATATCGTAGTAATTTAACTATATAATACAGGGAAATAATATGAGGAATTTTTTTCTATTAAATACTTACAAATATTATAATATTCTTTAGCCGGTTCTGCCGTTGAACCGGAAGCTTTTGCAAATTTCTCACGCTGGTCAAGCTTAGCCAACGCGAGTCGCCTCCGGAGTGCGCCCTAGCATTGGACGATGATTCGAAAAACGATGTTTCTTATCCTTGGGTTGCGATAGGAGTTGACCAACCGGCTTGTCTCCACAGCCTGACGTTGTGTCCGTGTTCAGCTCATTACCGCCTTACGTACCCATAATACATATTTCAGCAGTTATTAAGCTTCAAACAGGGTAAAGAAAATCGTGTTCACCACACACTTGCATAATACATACAAAGAAAACCTCCAGAATTGTTTTGAATTTATCGACGTTTCAAAGTCTGAGTGTAAAAATGTAGAAATCTGAGAGGGTCATTTTTTTGACCGATCGTTATACATTTCCTCTGTTATATAATACAGCCGCGAAAAGTAAAAATATTAGAAATGTGCATATAGACAACAATCAGATATACACCAGTTAAAGTATTCTCTAATCAGAACCGAGACACTAGTTCATCATTCTAAAGCCTTCTAAATTCCCAATAATAAATGATTATCACATATTACGTATGTGTAAAATAAAAAAACACTGACGACTCTTTTCAAAACTGTAGGATTATAACAAGGTTCAATATAAAAAAACTTATTTTTCATAGCGAACTGTTTATACCGGAAACGACAGACTCAAAACAAAGAGTCAATAAATGCCACAATGTTTTGCACGAATGAGTGGCTTCAACTTTAACCGCACGTGACCTTTCTTAGCGTTCTACTTTCATGGTTATGAAACTTTCTGACATCATCGATGGCTTGTTACGAACAACCAATGAACATTTCACTTCGAACCAAGAAAATTGTAATCGCATTTCAGTATTGTTCTATTGTGCTTCGTGTTTCTAAATTACATTGAAGAAATAATTAATAAATTATCAACAATTTAAACAACAGTGAATATATGAATATATAAAAATTAATTTTAATAATAAATATTATCATTTGTTTTTCTATAATATATTATTAAAATTATTTCAACTAAACATTATTAAATTATTTCAACTAGACTAAACATTCAACTAAAAACTCATAAACAAAATGAAACGGTACGACCAATTGTAGATTTCAAATTTACTGTATTGTATTGTAAATTAGAAAAATATTTAAAAGAAAAACTTAAAAGTTACGAAAACTCAATTTANATATATATATATATAAAATAATAATAAAAAGTAAGAATTAATAGATCAATTGTTTAATAATAATCATTTAGGATAAAATTAAAATTTATTCCACATTTTTATATGTTGACATGTTTGCTCCCGGCAACACCTTGGAGTGGTCTAAATTGCAACATCGGACATGCCGACCCCTCTCGTAAGCATCACAAAAATTTGCTATGTTTCTCCCACAGAAAACTTTACTAATTGATTTTAAGAAAAAAGTTTTTCTATTATTTACTGTTTACTTCTAAGAATATATTTTATCCATTGGTTTTGTATTATTATTTTGTATATTAACTTTAAATTGGTACAGCACTTCCTTCTATCATATTATGCTTAATTACACAGCTAGATGCATCACTTCCTATGGGGGCAGTGAACATGTTAAACTATAAGAATTGCTTTTAAAATAAAATTTTAAAACTTACCAATCAGAATTTTCTTCATCTTTGTTAAATAAATCAACAAATATCCTAAAAACCACATCTTCAGAAACAATTTCAAACAAATTCTGTTCGGGGAAAAATCTTCAAATTAATATGACAAATAAATTTTAACAAACAATTGCTATCATTTTGTAATTATTAAGTAAACTGAAATGTTATTTGTTAACTTTACTCACATAATTAAAAATTTTAATGAAAATATAGTGTAAGTATTGGCCTTTTAGTGAAAAGGGAACAAAAGAAGCGCAACCTTGTCAATTGGACCCACAAGCAATTGGGCAATATACCACTTGTAAACAGACGAAAAACAAAAAAAGTGTCGGCTTTGTCAATTGGACCAACTGTGACCAGATTATAGACCATTTGCCATACGGTAAACTACTGAATGTAAACAAGTGGCAGACGTTTATGTAAGCTCCACTCTTGTCGGATGTTGGCAAACATGAGTGTAAGCTGTTTGGGCAAGAAAGGGTTGTGATTGGTCGTAAGTCCCCATCCAAAAAATCCTTAAATTGCGGGGCAAACGGGAGAGGAGAGAGAAGGGCAAGAGACTGGTACACAGTAGTCTCAGGCACTTGGGAAGTCTGCTCAACATAAAGATTGTTCTCCTCTGGTAAACATCTCAGGGACGGGTTTAGTGCGAAGACTAGACTGATCGTGCAGTTGAGCTAACTTCACAAGCTGACTGAGGCCTCTCCATAGTTTAATAGTTCCCAGAAGCCAATCTAGTTCATGAGGCATCACGCTTTGTTATCCTGTATATACTATGTTTTTGAACTTGTACACTATATCGAACCGTGATATACACAAAAACCAACTCAACGAGACAGAGTTTGGAAAAGAACTTCATTAGATCTTCACTTATAGGATAGACCAAAAGTCAGTTTACTTGTTTCGTTTTGCATGTTCTCTTGTGAATAGAAACCATATATTAAATTAAATATGCATCTAGCCCAAAGTTAACCGTATATTAAATGGTTATGCATATAATTAAAAAAACTTAATTCCGGTTCTCTTTGATAGAAAGTTATTTAATGTATTATAGAAAATTAAAAGTTTATTTCGGAGAAGAACTATAGTTAATTATGTAACACAATTTTAGTTGAACACAGACGATACTATCGGAGTCGATGTGAAAATCAGCGAGCAAATTCCGTACCAAGTAGTATTTAGACAAATAATAATCGATCAACGTGTTCCCGGTATCTAGAAAACGATTTTCCTTACTCCACAAGAGTCAGTCGCCATCAAATGACAAGTCTATGTCTTAGAATATTGTAATTCTGCTCAGTTCTTATAAGAGTGAGCCACAGAACAAAGTAACTACCGATAACTTTTTCATTTTCTGGGATTTGATAAAAACTTGAAGGAGAACGGTAATAGTTCAGTTGAAAGTAATGAATTGATAAACGAGAGATCTCATCTAAAGCTAAAATGTGTGAGGACCCGCGAAACATTTGGGGCTTGTAAAACCATGACTACATCTTGAAAATTTGCCGGAGAAAAAAAGAAAAAAAGTAATTCTTTTGAGTAACCTTCACTCGCAAGAGGGCATTAAAATATACAATAAAACGACATCAGACTCGGCAATATTTTCCAAGACAAAGCACGAAGTAGACGTGCTTGATCACGTATTAAGAAAGAGCAGTGTAAAAAATATTCAACACGAAGTCGTCATTGGGTTACTCAGATTTGACGCCGCTCTAATAAATACAAGGATGCTCATCCTCAACTGAATGATAACCGACACGAACATTTTTCGCCCGAACTTTATCTTTTAGATGACAGCAGAACCAGGTTGAGGGAAAAAAGGCATCGGTAGACAAAAGAAAACGGGGACGTCTCTTTACTTTAAAAACGTGGCAATCTTGTCACCAGTCGCCGCGGGCACACGTGCCAAAAGTAATAAAACTAAAGATTCATGTTTGCGATGAGAAAAATTTGTTTTAGAAATTTTTATGGAAAATGTCAAAATATGTGTTCTACAAGGATAGTGTGTATAAATAAGCTTCGAAGAAAAACCTTTCAATTTTATTTTTATGTGTTTATTTTGATTTTTAATAATTTTCTAATTTGATTATATGGATGCGTAGGAATAACGAAGAATGCTTATGCTTCCTGGGCAATAAAACTTGAAAATATTACCCAGAATAAATGTCATATTTAATTAAGATTATTTCTAACTATTCCCTCGTTCAGTACATTTGGCGATGACTCAGATTTTTCGGGAACTCATCTGTTAATAATAATATCCCCAAATACAAGAAAATTAAATTTTATACAGAATACAAAGGTATATAGCACGAGTGTTGTCTGGAATAAAAAAAACGCTTGTTGCATACAGAGACAAAGTGATGTGTGTTGGTATAAATATTCCTACGTCTTCCGCGTGTGATGAAATATTTGGACTGCTGAATAACAGTTAAAACAAATAAAAGTTATTAAACAGCTCTAGTTATCATTAAATATAATTACGGTTAACCTTTCAAGTCAATACTGTTACGACGGTTTTTATAACGAAACAATAATATAAATTCGACAATAATTTTCCTTGCATTATTTAAAGTATATCGCATATCTAAAATTTATTTAAAACAAATGGATCGGATTACAGTATTCTGCAATGACAAACAACACATCCATTTCTCAAAATCCACTTTGTGTGAATGTAGCGAGAGAATAAAAATGATGTTACGTCCTTATACAAATACAACATCTGTCTCTCTTTACTTACCATACTCGTCGGATGTTTTGAAACAAATTAAAGAGTGAGTTTCTGTAATTATCTATTTAATACTTAGTTGACATATTCTAATTTGCATTAATATCGTTATCTTCCGTTATAAGGATAATTACAATCAGTTTTAAATAATATACAGTGGCTCTAATCATAGTTCCATTTTAATCGCATTTTCTGTTTATAGAAATCTGCGGAAAGGACGAAAAACCATAAAATCAATGCAGAATGCAACGGACATATTTTGCATAAGCAAACGATTAGGCCTACGTAATTTAAATAAAGAATGTCGAGATTTCATGACCGATCCATCAAGAGTTAAGAATGTGTGTTATGTACATGACTTAGCATGTCAACAGAACGATGAGAGATTAGAATATTTATGCTGGAATATATTTAATTCGAAATGGAAAGAAATTTTCTCATCGAACGAATGGCTGAACTGTGAAGCAACAACTATGGATAGACTCGTTCGTAGGCCAATAAATTCATTTATTGACGAAACAGACATCTTTACAGTAGTTTTAAAATGGGCCAAGAAAAGAGTTAATAATGAAAAATCTCTAAGGCAAGTCATGAAACCATTCCTTCCGTACATACGATTTCTGACAATGCCAGAATGGTTTCTGGAATCTCAAGTATTCGTTGAACCGATCTCAACGGACGTAGAGAGAGATGCAATAAGATGCTACTTGCAAAATAAGGATTTCGACGAGACATGGTTTATTCCAGAGAGTATTTGTGACATTACATGCCCTAGAAAACACGAATTACTCTCGTCCTGGTTCTCTTATGTGAATCGAAGTGCATACTTTATTAAGAAAGTAAGGAAAATGAACACAAATATTCGATTTATATGCGACATCGTTGCTAAGGAAGATTGTTTTATCACCAAATTGCGTCTTCCTATAACACATTGCAGGGAAGAAGGTATAACTGTAATCTTGAATTTTTCTGCTAACTTGAAGTTACGGACGAAATATCGTTCCAGAACAGCGTGTAATACGAACGGATGTATTTTATTGAGTCATATGCTACGGGTTCTAAAGTTTACACTTTATCGATTGGTTGTTAAAATTGATACACAGGTCATTGCAGAAAATGACATAAGAATCAGTCCGTCGGCAAATTACTACAGTCCATTCGAAGGAATTCAAAGTTTTAAATATTTGCAATCTGGATTGAAATTGCAAGATGAATTGGAGTACATCTGTTTGGATGTCGTACCCTACTTTTAAAAACTGATACACAAATTAATTTTAGTCGTTATTAAATAATGTTAATCTCGTAATATTTAAAAATTTATGCGTTTTAATTTCGATTAATTAAATTTAACTTTTACTGTCGAAGTTTGTTGAGTTATTTGTCAAGGCTCCACGTAAATGCGCGACGTCAGGGTAACAACACTCTGTCTTTAAAGACACAGAAATCGCGATAGTAAACGTTCACGCGCGAGCGGTCACTTTCGTAGGCGGTCAGATACGGTATGAAGGCGGTTGAAGAGACTTAAAGAAGTTCACCCAGTCAAGGATCAATATTAATATAATTACCCGTTTGTATCATAAAACTCTATTTACAGTGAAGAATCGTACTGTTATTTAGAATTTATAAGAGATTTATCGATGATTCGAAAGATTTCAGTTCGGGTAACAAAGGTTACGTCGGATGAAGGAAAGTAACTTGGGAATGAGTAGATGGCACACTTTGATGTGGGTAAGTTATCTAAGATATGGCAAAAACTCTAGAGAGGGCGAACGTTCAATAATGACGATCGTCATCGGTCCCTCCTTTTTATTGGGGGGGTCCTGCTCGTTTTTACTTTTGCCTTTTTTGGTAATGTTATAGATCGTGGCCGATAGATGAATTTCGATTGTAAGTTCTTGGTTACACATTTGGAAGACATCTCTCAAAGGAAGTGAATCCGGTTAAAGATACAATTATATCCTTTCATTTTTTAAATTAATTGTTAGAAAACATTATAGAATTTTCTTCTCATATGATATAAATTTTTAAGGACTATTCTTTACATACAACGTGTAAGAGTTTTTATAGTAAAAGAAAATTCCGCTTAATCCTGTAGGTACTGTACTAAGAGAACCTTTTCTTTTCAGCCCCTTTGTATCAATACCTTCGTCCATGCTCACAATAAGACGTCCTAATGGTGAAAGACAGAGCACAACACATTTTAGTCAGATAATCAGTAAAAAATCTATAGGGAGTTTTCTCAGATTCGATCCCTTCTTGACCTCTTCGGCTGTTTACCGTTTATAAGCGGATTCAAAGTAGGATCGGAACCAAATACTATTATATCTCACGGTAGTTTTTAAATTTCTGAGCGACTAAGCCCTACATATCAAATAACCACAGTTTGTCTGTTAAATGTTATTTTCTGGTATACTATAGACAAAGACGTGAAAAAAGTAACATTTTTTCTCAACAATATTGTTCTTTTAAAACTCAATTTAAACATCAAAATTATTTACAATTTATTACTGAAAATTAAATTATTCAAAAAACGCGATATTAATCTTAAGTGGAAAAAGACTTTCAGATCAAATTTTTAAAAATTTTTTTAAACTCATTTTCCCTGCAGGGACTATGATGGCCTTTTTTTTGCAAGCCCACAATGGGGCGACCTGGTGGTGAGGGACGGGACCCGACATATCCGGACGGTCCACCTCCGGTAATATTCCTGCGGATTATTCGACCCATCCGGATTAGATCCTTGATTCTCCAGAGTGGTAGGCTGCCAAGTGACCGCTTGGCCATCCGGCCATCTATGCAACAATTTAACTTTTGACCAACAGAAATAAGTGCAAATGAAATAAAATTTAATATTTTTTTCCAATGAAGAGAATACTAAAATTTAAGTTGTGGGTATTTTATTATTTTATCAATGTAATTATGAAGATCCAGAAGGGCTAATTAGAGCTAATTAGCCTATTAATTTAATTATAATTCGAAGAGAAAAACCCAGGGGGAAAACTTGGATCTCCACTAGAAACTTTCTGGTCACTCATCGATTTATAACACCCATGTCCAATATCCTTCTGAATCACCAATTACTTCTATGTTTGGACTCGTGTTAGAAACTTAGTCAAAACATTGGATTATAAAAGATGGGAATCTGTCAAACAGATGAAATTAGGAGGTAAGACGAGCCACGATAACGGATAGAAAATATTCAAAATTCGTCGAAACATCCGATTCTTGACAGCCCGTGTCAGCAAAACCCGGCCCAGCTCGAACTTAGAACACATTAAATCAAAGCCACCTGAGAAGTGTCTCAGGTGACTTTGATTTAAAGATTTCATAAGTCGCGGAACGCATATAAAAAAAGTGGCACAATCATCGAGGCGGATATACCAGGAAGGCCATAGATAACGACGACGGCTGGTTCGCCATGTTCCCGGCGCCATAACGGACTCTCGACAAATACGCTTCAACGGATGCAGAAGGCCTCCTTACAATCTCTCAGAGGTATTATGTTAAAATGTTTGTAAACGCTCTTTCTCGGTCAAGTTGCCTATAAGTTGGACGTAGATATCAGGCAGTAATGTCTATTTGAGACCCTTATTCACCTGCTCGTCACTCGGATGTCGTCATCCAGTGACGCTGAGCGAGGATTTACCATCTCGACGCCGAACGGAAACCTTAGAACTATTACCCCGTGAACGTTGGGCTTATTACATACTCGTAATTCAAGGATGACGATGCACAATAGAACAATACTGAAATGCGATTACAATTTTCTTGGTTCGAAGTGAAATGTTCATTGGTTGTTTGTAAGAAGCCATCGATGATTTCAGAAAGTTTCAAACCCATGAAAGTAGAAAACTATGAAAGGTCGCGTGAGACTAAAGTTGAAGTCACTCGTGCAAAACTTTCTGGCATTGATAGACTCTTTGTTTTGAGTCTGTCATTTCCGTTATGTACAGTACATTACAGTTCGCTATGAAAAATAAGTTTGTTTATATTGAGCCTTGTTAAATTCCTACAGTTTTGAAAAGAATGGTCAGTGATTTTTATTTTACAAATACGTAATATGTACTAATTATTTACTACCTGAGAGAATTTCCACTTAATGTGAGAGAGTGGAGAGGAATCTTTTTTGGGTCTATCACGTATTTCACATATCTTTTTTTCAAGGTATAAATTTTTTAGTCTTTCTCCAATGTTTATCATTATAGTGTTTTTGAATTTCCGTTGCATTAGATTTTTTTCTAATTTTTATTGTTATTTATGCTCTCTGACCCTTACTCCTAGGTTTCTCGTTGTAACTCCTATGTACTCCTTTTCTATTCCTAACTGCTGGTTCTCGTACGGGATCCTATAAACTCCTGCTTTATCTTCCTTCTTAATATCCAATTTATCATTTCTTAGAGTCTTGTAAAGATTCGGAGCTCGTTTTAAGATCAACGTTGATCCTTTACTCTCTGCAATCTCCTTCATGACTTACATTTCTTACATTTTTGTTGAATGTACACTGTGTGTATTTACTAGGTCCTTGTTTAGAGGCCCTTGTATCGCCTATCTCAAAATTTCTAATGATGCCTGCGATTATGTTTCTCCTGTAAACCAAGATTTCTGCTATCTGCATAATCCTTTTCATTTCTTTATTTCTGTCCATAATGTTATCGCAATATAGAAAAGCCCTTCTGACTAAGGCACGAAAAGCTGCTAATTTATAACGAAATGGATCATTGGACTGCGCAGGAATGTAGAGTAAGCTATGTGTTGGTTTGGTATACACATTAGTAGGTAAATGCCTTTTCTTAAAGATGATATTAATATCCAAGAAATGTATCACTACGGAACTTTTCTTCTCTAGCTTCAGGTTTAGGCCGTACATTTATTATATAAATTTGGTTAATTTTACAGAACCCGCGATTGACACATAAAAATGCCTTCTTTTCGCTTTGTGTATGCAATTTTAAAGGCAAATGACGTAGTGATCCTTCAACAATTGCAAGTTGACAATTTAACTAAACGATTGTTGTCATTGGTTCTTTCTTGCGATCGAATGCAATTATATTTTTGGTTTGGCAATTTAAAAAGAGAAATGTTTTCTTTCATTTTAAAGTAAGTTTAAATGAAAATATTTTAAATTTTAACTCTTCTCTTTCGATGTTTCATGGTAAAAAAGATTAAAAACTAATAAATAGTTAGTCACGGTTTCGGCTAATCTGGTGAAATTCTCCGGGATTCCTTCGTGTTTATAATATGTAAGTATAAGAATATTTCCAATACAAATTCCTCCGGGAGACAACCTCTTTGGCAGATCAGCCTTGTTGGTTTCATTAACAACCTTCAATCGAATCCGATGGAGATTATCCGTTTCCATTTATCCGAAACCACTTGTCTCCTTTAGTAAGGTGCTGCGCCGAAATTGAATTCATCATTTTATAACCGAAACTTGATAATTGACTGTTTTACAAATTTTACTGGTGGCTTCTCTATTTCATAATAAAGTTGTCAACAATTTGTTTATGGCTTTTATCAAATACCGAAAGAACTTTGATAAAAGCCATTTCGTGTAAAATTTGTAGCGTGTGTATTTACACACGGTGCAAATTTCACACTAGTTGCCTTCTACAGCTAAAACAACTGTCGGGAAACATCTAGTAACAGCAGCAATTGAAAGGCATTTCGTGTCTACAGATAGGCTCGAGGAATAGCACATAGACAAGAATACATATGTATATATATAATCTTAATCAAATATTGATCTTGTACAGGTTAACATCCAGTAATCAAATATCAAATTTTTGTTTCCAAACTATCATCAAATTTACAATTTGTTTATTGAAATATAAGAACAAATTTTAATTTCTTCTTATAGAAAGAACTGTTTCAAGAGATTTAAAGTGTTTTGCCGTGATAGAAAAATACACCCGATAGAAGATGGCGGACTTATAGACGATTACGTCTATCCTAAGGAAAAGAGAGTGTGTATGTATGCAAACTTCCAACAGGCCTCATCAAAAATTGGTGGCGTCACGAGTTCTCCTCTGAATAAAAGCTCGAATGTAAGCGTATCATCTATACTGTCTCTATCAGATCACAATCATTCTGATAAATTATATCGTGCAAAAGAAATCAAGCTAAACGAATTGTGTCGTTGGTGGGAGATGCACAACATGTTGCAAGAGCAACGTTTCCCAAATGTTCGGCCGTGCATCCTAGACAACAACTGTGAAGAAATGTGTATAAATAATATGATATGGTAAACAACTTATTATGCTGAAAATCAAACACATCAGAGAACACCGTCTACTTTTATTCTTCACCAGCCAAAAAATCTGGACGAGAGGCCTGTACAAAAGCTGGAAAGATTAACAAGGTTCCTCATGAAGTTTGCCATTTATCGATTTCCCAAACAAAATAAAAATGAGTCTGTTGAGCGCATAATTAATAGAATGCTCGTCTCTGCGCAGATTCAAAATATTCTGATTCCTTCGCCCAATGTAGTAATGCGTAAAGACTACACGAAAAACTCAAGTTTCGTCATGAAAGTGGTATTATAAATTTTTGTATTATTAACACAATAAATGTGTTAGTTTGAAATGTCATGTTTGACTTTTAAACGATAGTAAAATTTAATAATTCGTTTTAAAAACAAAGGATAAAAGCAGATACAGTTGATTTCCTGGCGAATTGCATAACCTGGGACAGTCCTTTCCATATGGAGTAATTTGCAGAGAAAGTAAATGTGGAAAGTTCCTAATTTATATAAATTATCCAGACTGCAGATTGGGGATGCGTAATATATGATTCGATTAATAATTTAGTTACACAATTTCATATGAATAGATAAGTTGGAGATTTTTAAATTAGAATATAAGTTTAATAAATTATCTATAGAAAATTTTACTTTGTTGTTTAAGTACGAAATATGCGCTTTAAACGTGTGATTTTAGTCGAAAACAACATCCAAAAAATTTGTTTCGTTTACCACGTGTATCAACTGCTTGTTCAGATATATCATTAATTCTGGACACATTTATTTATTCTTATTCATGAAAAGTTCGTTTTATTTATTAATTGTTTGTCTATTCATTAATTATTTATATTCAAAAAAAAAACGTTACACAATGGTACTACATTCTTACTTCCATTGTACAGGTTATGCCTCATACATACGTATTTCTATATTAACTTATTAGCCGGGTTAAATTTCTTATAATGAATGTGTTTGTATACGTTTACGCATTATGATATAAAATTACGAGAAGTTAAACTGTTAAATGATTACTTTATAGAAACTAATGAGAAGACAGAGAAGATGACGGAAAATATAGAGATAATTCAATCAGAAAAAAGAGAAAATGCTGATGGATTTTTATCCAGAAATGAATTCGTGGCAGAGAATAATGATGGGGTAAGAAAAAATTTTTAATATCCCTTAATTTACAGTTATAAATTTGTAGTCGTTTTTTGCTGAACTTTTACTTTTAATATTTAAGATTTTCGTATTTTTCGCTGTGTTTACAATAATTGTATACACTTTAAATAATAGCACGAATCCATTCGAGTTATTAAGTACAGTATATGTTCAAAATTGAAAAAATAAATGATTATACGCATTACATATTACTTTGAGAATGGTCAAAGTTAGGAAAAGAAAAATTAAAAAATATTTAATTATTGGAGAATTTTGCGTTACAAGCGAACATTTAATAATTTCTGCTTGTCGTTTCCAAAATCCGTTTAATTTAATTAAAGTCCTTTTGTAAATGTTTGGCATTTAAATTTAGTTTTCACATTTATCCATTTATGATAACATTTAAAGAAGACAACTCGTGTCTTTCTAATAGGAAATTTTCAACTCGTTTAAAAGAATTAAATATGCCGTTTTTTGTTATTTTCCATTATTTATTGTAATAATGCTTGCATTACTTTCGTAGTATTATTTTCGAACAAACATTTTATATACTTTGATTTTCTTATTTCATTTACGAAATGTTTATGTTATTTGCAGGAAACAACCAAATGTTTTGCGGTTTTCGTTGCATTTTTCCGCAGGATTTCTTCCATCGTCTGTTTTTGTTTCCGAAGAAAAAATAAAATATTGCCAATAGTTAAAATAAATTCGTAGAAGATCGAGAGAATTTCAAATTTTACATTTCGGTGAGTTCAAACAATATTCAATATAAACAAATGTTGTAAAACGTTTAAAAAAATTTGTTTATAATCACATACCTATCCCTGCTACAGAAATCGATGAATAACATTTTTACTTAGCTTACTTCTTTTATAAACTCTACATTCCACTGCTCCTGTTATCGGTAATACTGTTTTATGACAGGGAAATAAATGTCTTTTAAAATTGTTTTTTTTTTCTTTATTTTAATCGTATCTAAAACAATTTCATATTTATTTTATTACAATGTTCTGCTACTACCGAATTTTCATTGTTTTTATGGCTCTGATATATTCCTTTTTATTTATTTTGTATTTTTTCCTTGTCTCTCCTAGGAAAAGTGAAAAATACATTAGGTATGTATCTTTAATTTATAAGTATATATAAATGAATATGTTTATTCGCTATGCACAGATAGGCCGTTCGACAAAGTTGCTACGAAACTCGACAGTTACGTTAACATTCTTCTAACTTAAATAATATCATACATACCATTCCAGAATATTGATTGAATTTCTATATATCATTTAATATGTGTATACNAACTTACCGTAGAATGACTCTTTTATTTTATGTCGACTTTATTTCGGTTGTGTCGAATCTTCAGACGAGAATAAAACTGATCTTTCAGCTGTTAAAGATTCAATGAAAAACAACTTTATGAATATTAATTTTGAAATTTTTATTAGGCAACGAAGTTTATTATAGAAGATATCTAAAATAATTTCTCTGTAATCAGCAATTTTCCAGATCACACGAAATTTCTTTCAGTATAAATTTATATTATACTGATAGAGTTTTATTGAAAGTTATAAATGTGATCGCTGCAGGCGGCTGATAAGTCCGTTAAAGACTGTCATTTTGGTTTTTCTTGGAGGATTTTGGGCGAGTCTTGTGTGAAAAGTAAACGATGGAAGTTGGAAAGGAATTTCATGTAAACCAATTTATGGGTTTGAGAAATTCCACAGGAGCATAAAGTCAAAGTGTGAAAGGTGAAACCGCACCCGCCCGAGTCAGGACTGACACCACCTGTGACATCTGGCTCAAAGAAATTTTTCGATAAACGCGCAAGAGGTCACCTAAAGATGAAAACATTTTAGTAAATGTGTGGATAGCTTGAGGAATATAATGTTAACATTACGAAAACTTGCAATTTGCATTGTTACTTATGATTTCAGCTTTATTACTCAATGTTCATTTCTGACTATTGACTTCACTACATTATAAAACATATCTTCAATGAATAATTTGAAGCTCATTGCATAATAGTCAGCAATATAATTGACAACAATTTTATTCACTACAGATCGCAATTAATCCATTTCTTGAATATATATATGTATACAGATATTATGGGATTGATTCCGTATATTTTGTTTCAGAAAATACATAATAAATACTAAATCAACTTTAGATTGGTATATAAACTTGATTTAGTGATGCTCTGTAGATGTAAACAACCCACAAGCATCGTGCATATTTAAAGCTACGATGTATTAAAATTAATCAGCCAGTCATACAAATTAAAAAATCCAGAAAAGAGTTGTGTAACTTCCTCGGCTGTTATGAAATTTTATTTAAAAAGTAACTATTATATTGTTAATTCTAATTAATAAGAGTTTGTATTACGTATATATTATTAGATTTTATTTTACAAATTATATATTATTAATTGTAATAAAATCGCAAAAGGCTTAATTAGGCTATAGATAATACAGATAGAGATAAATATAGATAAATTTTTAAAAATTATAAATGCTAAAAATGAGTAAAATGTTTATAAGTTTAACCTCTTTCAGATATGATACATTACTCTTTCTATCTCTGAACAACATTGATACGACATACAAGGATTAAGAGTAACATTGAATACTATAATAGTTTCCAATTATATTCCGATTATGTGACGTGTACAGATAATTTGAATGCCAGTTAGTAATGATATCCCAAGATCACAAAAAATACTTAAAATCAACACCAACAAAAACAGTTTAAAATATACGAAAATAAATAAATAATTTATATAATGATAATCACCTGTATTTTGTGAATCGTCAATGTCATTATCTTGCATTCGAATTTTGTTCAAATTACCAGTCGACCCCCCTATAACGTTCGTTCCTATAACGACAATTCCTATAACGTAGCGAAAAAATTGTAGCAACATTCGTATAAAGTACCTCCTATAACGTCGTTTCGCGACAAGATTGATAGAATCTAGACCAATAGTGAATGAGCAGCCGTACTACTTTCCTCCGACCCTGCGCCACGCTACGGAGCGGCTAAATTGAGTTTGCTATCGTCTGTTTAGTATTATATATAAATTATATATAAATTAGGTACTGTACATATAATTATATATTAATTATATATAAATTAGGTACTGTATATATAATTATATATTAACTTAATTTATTGTAACTTTATTATAATTATATATATGCTTTCTGCCGCCTGGCAACACGCTACGGAGATTTTAGGCTAGTAAGTTGAGTTTATTATCGTCTGTACAGTATGTAAATTAGGTACCGTAAGTCTAATACAGCACTAATTTTATACATTTCTTGTGAAAGAAACACTTCTTATTCAACGGCCATAAAAATTATTTATATTAATGATGTCTCCAAAGGTCAAGTTATTTTTCTGCGAAAAATTATTTATCAGAAATCGCGGCCGCCGTTTCGTGTGCTGTTCCGCGACGAAGACAAGCTTTGAACAACGGGCGTAGTCGAATGGTGCACACTCGGTAAGTAATCCTATAATTTTTTGTTTATAGCATAGTTTATACAGATTATTCCCAAAAAATTATACGTGTTTTGGAAATGCTGAGTGGAATCAGTCTAGAATCGGTTAAATTTATAGAAGAAAACCTTTCAAACAGCCTTAGTCCGTAAAGTTCACACCTATCGGGCTGCGATTGGCTCATGTATTTAATGATTCCTACAACGTAAAATTCGATTAGCGTTAAACGTATCTAAGCGTTATAGGGGGGTCTACTTGTACTCTTTATAAAACAGAAAATTAGGGAGAGAAGACAACAGAATGCTCCTTGAAATATCCCATAAAAGAATGGAAACAGCACAATTGATGTTTGTTTCTAAGTGTAAAGTCTCTTTTAATAACAAAATATCAGAATCTTACAATCTACAATATAAATCAAAGACATACATATGGAGGTATCAAAGGATAAAACAATAATGCCGAATGCAACAGAAAAATTCTGAATCCCGCTCTCAATAGCTATTGCAGTGCAGGCTGCTTTGGAGTTTCTACTGACGAAAGCTATGACATATCCAGTTATAATTCCAGTTATGGGAGATAATAAAGAGGTTATAATAACTTTCCACGATACTATACTAAACATGTGTTGAGAGGAAATAATCTCCATTATCACGAAAATTATGATCATTATCATACTTGTTGCACTTCCCCACTATTAATAAAACAAAAATAGTTTCATAATATAATATAAATGATTAAACTTAACACCTTAAATAAATTTACTCTACGCTGATCGGATTGACACATTATCGATGAACTGGCCAAGTGTGGTAAAGCAAAAATAAAATTACTTCACATACGTAATGCTTAGCACGCGCTGCGATTATCTTTCCGAAAGCAAGTTTTCCATTGTTGCGAAAAAATAACTGTTGAGAATAGATTTTCGGCAATTGTCGGAGTGAATTTCAATTGAAGCAAAGTTAACTTTAAGTATTTCGAAGAAAAGAAGATGAAGTCTTTTAGTAAGTTATTATAATTATGCAATAAAAATATAGATTAACTCTTTTTAACGTATTTGCAATAAAAACAAAAACATAAAATTAACAGTAATTTTCTACCATATGTTTCAAAATTTTTATAACAATGTTATACGTTGATAGCGAATACATTCTCTCCGTTGAATTCCATAAATATCTAATATAAATTAATCACATTAATAAACAAATATAATTTTGACTGTTTTCGCTTTTTCTTTCGTGTTTTACGTTCAAAAATATATTGGAATATTTCTGAATCTTTATAATTTAATAATTACATTGAAAATATCTCCAATTAAATTAGTCATTAGAAAATCGTGCATTTAGCACAAATATGATAACAGAGAGCAGCAGTAAAAGCTATCAGTTAACAAGCACCAAGCACACTTTCGTACTTAACTTTAATTCATTAAATACTTACTAAACACAAACTGTGGCTTATTGTAAATAGATAATTTCTATTATCAATTATTAGGAACATGAAAATTACAATCAGATATTTCTTAGTGTCATTAACGACATTTAACTTTGCGGTCATTTTCTGCTAGAAACAATTCGAACGTTAAACGTATTTTCTGCAAATGAATAACAATTTATTATTTCATTTCTTCATCTTTTCAAAAATTTAAATATTCCATTTCATTTAGAAATATAAAACAAGTAAACATTAAAAATTATAACAACATTTTTATAATTTTAAATTCTTTAACGTTACTTTTTATTTCATTATGTATGAATTATGTATTAATCTTTTTAAATTATATTTAAAATAAAACAGAAGAGAAATGTGAAGAAGCTGCAGGAAAAGATAACGCGGAGGAATCAGAATTGTCCTCTTCTGTAAGTTACAATTCAATCGTAATTAAAAATAATCTAATAACTCGTATCATTTAAAGATGTAATATTTAAAAGTCATGACAATAATGCAAATCTCATAAAATGTGTTTATAAAAATGCTTGCAAGTTGTTTATTTATTATAAATGAGAATTTTTTCAATTACTAAAAAATTACTAAAATTATCCTATCAGAAATCAGAATTTTTCACTTTCTTACAGGATTCGGACGATATGGACGAATTTTATTTTCGTTTGTATCACGAACCAATTACTCGTTTTAAACGAAAGAAAAAAACATTAAAGAGGGCGTTTTCGTATTTAGAAAATTATTCCTTAATTAAAGAAACGATTTTCGAAGAAAACGAATTAAATTATCAATCGTCCGAAGATGACGTCAGTTGTAACACCGATACTGACGTCACGTCAGAATCATCTTCGGAAGTAAATGACGAAATAAAAGTATTAGATCAAGGTACGCTCACAGAGAAATTACAATGAATTATCCGATTCATAAATTAATTTGTTTAACGATTATTAAGGAATGATTTCACGTTAAACTCATTGTGTTAAAATCTATTTAAATTAAGAAACTTAATATTAATTATCCATCCGCACTCTTTCACGTGTCGTAGGTCATTATATTCAAAACAATTCAAAAATACAAAATTAATTTCAAAATGTTTAATTCTACAAATATTTTGTTTATTTCGTCGAAAATACTTTTAATAATTATTTTTGTTAATGTTTAAGTAACACGTTTAACGAACATTAAATAAAAATTCACTGAAAACATTATTCAGGTGGAGTAAACAAACGAATAAAATGATCGCCAGAGACACAATGTTTTTATTTATGACATAATTCATTGTTTTGTAGTATACTCATTTCCTATATCAGAATTAATTGACAATTAATTTATCAGTTGTCAAAGTATATGTCGAGAAATTTCCTAAAATATTTTTACAATTTTAATAGATAAACAATGTAATTGTCTGAGTTTTACTTTTCCGGCTGTTATAATATTTTACTCTTTCAGTGCTTTTGAAATCGTAGTGTGTTCAGACCACTGCACACAAAAAAGTCAAAAAATTAATTCCCGAAATATGTGTGCGTGTCTATTTCGTTTTATATCTCAGGGTAGATAAACATTACAAACCGACATTTGCACGGTAACTTGTATAATAAGGGACATGGAGGCGATTCAAATTGTGTGTTGAAGCACGAAGGGGTGACAAATAAAAGTAGGCTTCGTAAAGACTCGATATTTATAAAGATTTCACATTTTATAGCATTTAAAATTTGTATCCAAGTGATTTGTATTTTGAAAGTTAAGCTTTCTCTAAATTCTTTGAGTGTGTGACATTAACAGATAATGTATAAATGTAAGATAAATGCTTGTAAAACTGAGACACCGAGAACTATATTCGTATTCCAATGATATGTAACTCGAAACTGAAATATAATTTTTTGCATGCAAACTCGGTGGAATTATTATCGTCAACATCGTATTATTTAATACAAGTCGTAGTCTGCGCTTGTATACTAATTTACATAAAAAACACAATTCGTAAACGTAGGCAGATTTTTGTTCACAATGGGAAAGATTTGAGTTGAAATTATATTATAATATCTCACTGTTTACACAATGGTACTACTTTCTGACTTTCTAAATACAGTTATGTCTCATACATATGTATTTATATATAATCTTAATAGCTGGGTTAAATTTCTTATAATGAATGTGTTTGAATACGTCTATGCATGATGATATAAAATTACAAGATAAATAGTTAAATGATTAATTTTTAGAAACCAATGAAAAGAAAGAAACAATGGAAAGAAATAAAGAGTTAAGTGAATCGAAAGACATAAAAAATGCTAATGGATCTACATCCAAAAGTGAATCGTCGGCAGACGATGATGACGGAGTAAGAAAATATTTTTTAATATTCCTTACTTTACACTTATATATTTATTGTAGTTTTTTGCTAAACTTTTACTTTTAATACTTTCGTTTTTTCGCTGTGTTTACAATAATTCTATACACTTTAAATAATAGCACGAAATTATTCGAGTTATAAAGTATATGTACAAAATTGAAAATAATAAACGATTATACCCATTAAATATTACTTTGAAAACGATTAAAGTAAGGAAAAGACAAATTAAGAAATTTCATTATTGGAGAATTTCGCGTTACAAGCGAACATTTAATCATTTTTGCTTGTCGTTCACAAAATCCGTTTAATCTGATTAATATCTTTTTGTAAATGTTTGGCATTTAAATTTACTTTTCACATTTATCCATTTATGATAACATTTAAAGAAAACAACTCGTGTCTTTCTAATAGGAAATTTTCAACTCATTTAAAAGATTTAAATATGCCATTTTTAATTATTTTTCATTATTTATTGTAATAATGCTTGCATTACTTTCGTAGTATTATTTTCGAACCAACATTTTATATAATTTGATTTTCATATTTCATTTACGAAATGTTTATGTTATTTACAGGAAACAACCAAATGTTTTGCGGTTTTCATTGCATTTTTCCGCAGGATTTCTTCTATCGTCTGTTTTGGTTTTCGAAGAAAAAATAAAATATTTCCAATAGTTTAAATAAATTTGTAGAAGATCGAGCGAATTTCAAATTTTACTTTTCGGTGAGTTCAAACAATTCAATCAGTGTTCGTTTATATTCGTATTTTTCTTAATCGTATAAAAATGAATGTTACATTCCAGATTACTTTTTTAATATTAACTGAAAAATTAATTAATTAATAAATTAATGAATAATAATTGTTTATATAATTATAAGAGAAGGACACATTTCATTTATGTAATGAAAATTTCTGAATGGGAAATTTGGGCAACACGTGAAATCGAATCATCTGCTCTGTACTTTCAGATGCCTTTATGTTTTTATTTTATACAGATTTTTATATGATTGTCTACTAGGGCAGAGCTTATTAATAAAACATTTTGCAGTGGCGTTAGGTTTACGCAATTAAAAAAAATTATCCAGACAAAACAATCAATCTTTATTGTTCAATACGTATTTCGCCTGTACACACCTTTTTTTGTGTTTTGGGCTTTCACGTCCCTGATTATTATGTTTACAGAAACATAATGCTAAAAACAAAAATTTATAAAAATTTACAATACTATATAACAAAGATTACCCGAATATGATATGAATGTGTTAGCATGATTTACAATTTCATTTTTGTTAATTACTTCCATACGTAAATAAATACACAGAAGAATTTTCATCATAAAATCACAATACCTGTATAAAGTTCAAACACATTTATAAAAATATAATGTTTTAAAACGTTTAAAAAAATTAGTTTACTCTCACATAGCTGTGCTTGCAACAGAAAACGATGAATATCATTTTTACTTAGCGTACTCTTTTCATAAACTTTCTGTTACGTTGCTCCTGTTATCGATATAACTGTTTTATGATTAGGGGATAAATATGTTTGTATAACTGTCTTTTAAAATTGTTTCTTTCTTTACTTTTTATATCAGTCGTATTTAAAACAATTTCACATTTTTCTATATTACAATGTTCTGCTATTGCCGAGTTTTCATGATTTACTTTTATGGCTCTGATATGTTTCTTATACTTATTTTGCATTTTCTCTTTGTTTCTCCTAGGAAAAAGTTAAAAATACGTTAGGTATGTATTTTTAATTTATATGTATATATAAATGAATATGTTTATTCGCTATGCATGCATAGGCCGTTCGACAAATTGCTATGACACTCGGCAGTTACGTTAACATTCTTCTAACTTAGATAGCGTCGTACATACCACCCCAAAATGTTTATTGAATTTCTATATATCAATTTATTTGTATATACATTCGATTCGGAACCACAACGAACTGCTGGTGTTCGGTGGTTTTATTTACATGTAGATACTATAAGTCTAAACCAGTGATTATTTTACACAATTTTAGTGAAATAGTTTGTTAACTAATCTAAATGATGTGTGTGTTTCGTGTTCTTTTCTAATACGAAATCCTGTAAAATTGTAGTCTTGCGATATTGCATAAGCAACACATAAATGGATGTATACAAAGATTATTTAGTATATTTATGTGCTACTATCAGTAATTTAATTGTGTACATTATGAATCACACGTCGCAGTATTGCTTTCTCCCACAGAGTCAATGTCTTCCTACATTTTTGGCATTTTGCAGCTTGAACCGTTATAAGACCTTTCTGAAACCAGCAATGAAGAATAACAATTCAAGCTGCGAAATATAAAAAATGTAGTTGCTTCGTGGCGATTCAAAATTATAACACTTGAAGCAAAAACTTAGATAGTTTTATAGTAGATATGCCACTGCTCTACACTGAGTAATATAATTCCGTTTCAATCGTACACATTTGTACTTTAAAAGTATATAAAGATGTTGATTTTATAAATTATTAAAATATTTAAATATTTTAGATGAAAATCTTAATTATGTTTATTTTATTTTTACACAGCACAGCAGAAGTTCAGAAATTTTTGCGTCTTCAACATAGTTACATTGTTGTGAAATAGCAATTATTTATTTATTTGGTTTTTGAGTGCTGACCATTGCACGCAACATCAATCCACATGGCAACCAGAATGGATTAAGAAAGTTTATAATTCAAAACTTAAAAACAGTTTATAAATTAATGAAGTCTTTAAAAATAAGTTAAAACTTAAAACTTGACATAAGTTTATAGTTTAAAACTAAAAAAAAGTTTGAAATTTAAAACTTGAAAAAAGGTTTAAATTTTGAACCTTAAAAAAAAGCCTAAAATTTAAAACTAAAAAAAAGTTTGAAATTTAAAACTTGAAAAAAGGTTTAAAATTTAATGCTTTAAAAAAAGATTAAAACTTAAAAGTTAAGAAAAGTTTGAAATTTAGAATTTAAAAAACACTTTTTAATTCAAACCATAAAAGAGTTTAATTACTCTTGATTTCGTTTTCATTCTTACTGAAAATGGTTTATATTCCACTTTTTTTACTTTTTATTTGTATTTAAATACAAAGTTTGTTGCTTGTTTATTCACTTTTAACTTGTAACATATAAATGTTTGTTTTCTGATTATATACATCAGAATTTATCAAATACATCAAAAATACATCAAATAACGTACACAAATAACGTACAAAATACATCAAACATCAGAAATACAATTATTTTTATGAATACAAACGAACAAAAACTATATAAAAAATAAATATTTATGTAAACCACAACTATACTCAGCAGAAAACAATTAAACATTTAATCAACACCTTATTTTTCGCTGAGAGATTATTTTTAATTAAAACAAACGTTTTCGATCCATTCATTGGATCATCTTCAGGTCAAATAGAACATTTCATAAATAGAACAACTCGTTTAAATATTCAAAAATACAAATAAACCGATAATATAAAAATAAATAATACTTGTAAATAAATCAAATATTCAAAATAAATAACATAATACCATTACTAAATATTAATAATATCGTCTGCCTAACTATATAGAGTTTACTATGTTTCATACTAAATTTCATGCGCTTTTTTTAAGCTTCTAACCGCAAACTTCCAAGCGGAAGGAAGACCCTCCGCATCCCTTGCGTTAATACATTTTTCTTCAAGTTTGCTTCTATAGATTTCTATCTTTTCAGCTGTTCTTGCCAAAGCCGGCGAGTGTATCTGTTTCAGGATTTCGGCTTTATCCCAATGTACCAATGAACCTTCTGCCTGCGCCATCTGGGCCAATACTGTCGCATTAGAACCTTTTCTAATATCATATTTGTGTTCTTTGATCCTTAAACCTAGGTTCCTAGTTGTAACCCCTACATATTCTTTCTTAATTCCTAAAAGCTGGTTCTCGTAGGGAATCTTGTACACACCCGCCTTATCTTCTTTTCTAACTACCCCTTTATCGTTTCTAAGTATTTTGTACAAATTCGGGGCTCTTTTTAAGACCATCTTTGCATCCTTCATATTTGTGATTTCTTTCATAACGCCTCCTAAATGTTTGTTGTATGTAAATTTCGTGTATTTAGAAGGACCTTGTGCC